GGTGCAAAACCCCTCCCTGGACGGCATCCGTTACTTGGGACCCCAGAGCCTTTAGTGGGTTTAAGAAGAAAGGGGGAGAAAAGTGAGCAGAAACAAGATTCTAAGCTACATAGAAGAGGTTCTTGGGGAAGGGGGCCTAATGGGACTGATGACGTTCCTTCTCCTTTAGTTTTAAAGCCGGTTCCATTGGATTTTGATCAGTGTACTCCTGTGAAAGAGCGGTCTAATTCAGTGAGAACTCCGATGATGTCTCCAATGATAAGAAGGGTAGCAAGGGATGGGAATGCTGCTAGTGCTGGTGTAAGGTGTTCTTTTGGTGGGGGATTGTTGGCTAAAATAATGGATACAAAAGGAGAAAGTCCTGCTTTGCTTAGGAAAAGCTGTGTTGCACCTTCTTCTGCCTCAAAGTTTCCACGGAGCAAAAGTGTTTGTGATCGAGAGCCAAGGATCCCAATTAGTCCTCTCAAATCAGCTGTAGGTACATTGTTCCCCTTTTTCCATTTAACAATTGCTATGTTTACTCTAGAATTAACTTTTCAATGATGTTCCTTTGCTTCTTTTTTTGTGCAAAACGAAAGTAGCACTTTTTTTTTTGTGATTATTCAACTCAATTTTGCTAAGGAAAATTATTCTTCCTTTCTCTGCAGGAAAAGAAAAGTTCAGCCCCACCACCAAGTTTAAGAAGTGGAAGGGCTGTAGTTGCTTCCCTCAATATGGGTGGAAATGTGCAGAACAACTCCAAACCAACTGTTGCTGCACAACAACAACAATCAGAGTTTGATAATAACCCAGCCTTTGATAATAGCAGAAGTCTACCCATGAATTTGCCTGGGAAGCTTGGCATGTTGGGCAGGGTGAGATTAAGATTCCTGTTAACCAAGATGATTATTAATGCATGTGTTAGGCCTTTAGTTCTGGTTACTGACTTGATGCTTTAACAGGGAGCTGTTCAGCAGCGAGAAACAGCCCAGAAGATTGCTCTCCAAGCACTAAGAGATGCTACAGCCACAGATAATATAGTTCGCTCTCTCAAGTAATAAACTTAAAACCCTTTGTTTCCCCTTTTGTTATCAGGTGAAGTTTTATATTTGCTAAGGTCATATACTTTGGCTGGCTGCAGGATGTTTTCCATCTTGAGCAAGTCAGCAAAACCAGATGCTCCATCTGCATGCTTCAATCAATTTCTGGAGTTTCATGCCCAAATTTTACAGGCCGTGAGTGAGATAGCGTCCGTTCAAGCAGCTATTTCAGCTACTGAAATGGCACAAAACTCAAAAGCTGAACAGAAAGATAAACAAGGTGAAGATGATCCAGCAATCTTGCATGAAATTGTGCACAACTCAATGGACCAAAGCAGTAATACAGAGTTAAGTTCATCGAAAAGGCGAGCTGCATTGTACAAGTCAATCGCAGCCTTTCCTGAGAGAACTGAACAGAAGTCAAGCATGGGAAGGCTCCTAACATCAAATTCCAACCCCAAGGTATTCTCAGACAGGAGTGCACCACCAACTCCACTTGGCAAGCTGCCCCCTGAAGGTGTTGGTGAGAATGATGAAAACAAGAAACCATTATCTAGCAACTTAAGCAATACAATAAAATTGGGTAAGCAAATTGAAACTGAAGCAGGAAATTGGTTTATGAACTTCCTAGAGAAAGCTCTGGAGAATGGTATGAAGAAATCCAAAGGCACAGCCGATGGGGATACTAAGAAAGTTCCTCGGTCTCTCATACTTAAGGTTATTAATTGGGTAGAGGTAGAACAGTGTGATGGTAACAAGCGGCCAGTTCATCCAAAAGCAACACAGGTAGCTAGGAAGCTTAGGATTAAGATGAAGAACCCTTGAATTGGTCCACAAAATTTTTAAGCAGATATTACACTTTTCAAAATAGTACTTTTCATGACTTTTTCATTGTTTGGTTTCCAATCACTTTTGGAGATTGTATCTCACATCATGTACAAGTGATGATTTCTGTATTATTACTGTATTAATAGATTTGTGATGATTGACTAAATGTTTGGAAATGTTTTTCCCGACAGACAATTGACATCTGAACAAGATTGACTCATATATACTGAATCCCGCTTGTTTTTGTGAAATAAGATATTAATCTCAATTTTCATAAAATGGAAGAGAAGAAAGTGTAGATAGAAAAGTAAAAGAACGTGGAAATTGGCTCTGTGGTTTCTGAAGAAAGTTTGGCTTGACTACGAGCATTTCTGCTGAATTATGGGGGTTTTATAACGGGCTGCATGTTGATAATGTTATTCCCGTTTCCCGTACAAAACTTACATCAAATTTCCTAAATCAAATTTTGAATTTTTTAAAATGATTTAATAAAAACTTTAATAAAAAATTTTAATTGATTTATTGATAAAATTCGATGTAAAGATCAATATATAAAAAAATTATTAAAAATATTATTTATGATTTAAATTTGATCGATACGTTTTTAATGATAAAAATTCTGTAAATATTTTAATAAAAAATTTTATCTAAAAATATATATCAAAATTTGTTAAAATTATTTTAAATTTTGTACATCCATATAATAAAAAATTTTAATCTATTAATTTTTATTTTTATTTTAAATTTTATTTAATTGTTTTTTATAAAAAAAATAATGAAAAATTTTATCTTAATCCCCCCAAGTTTTTCATACTTACAAATCGATTGTTTCTGATTACAGACTGACGTTGGATCACTAGCCAATGCTAAAATGCACCATACACTACAAGAAATATGATATATAGTAATGTTCAAAAAGCATTGGTAAAACCCTAAAATCTGTTAATATAGTATCATAAACCCTATATTAACGGTCAAAATGTGCATTTCGATGAATTTTTAACCATCTGTATATCTCTTATCGGTATAGACCTATACTGATGGTTTTTAAGGTGTCGAAATAGCTTACAGAGATATAACTACATTTCAAGACCATCAGTACATATATATATGTTAGTATAGCATCTGTTATATGTTCCACCGTTTGCATTTCTAGTCAAGTGGGTTGCATTATGAATGGCCAATTTTGTATATTGATTATTGGTAATTTACAATATAATGCATCTTATATTGGATAAAAATATTTAATTATTAATGAATAAAATTAATTTTTATATTAATTTTATTTATATTTTAAATTATTATATTTGAACAGAAATGATATTATATGACAAATGGTCATAACTATTTAAATATAAACATATTATTGTTCATAAAGTTCATGATTATACAAAAAATCATAATCATTTAAATTGAAATTTATGTCTGTTTATTCATTATGAATAGATCTTTCAGTGTAACCATTTTCAATATTTCAGCTTAGAGAGTTTTGAGACTTTATTGTATCTTGAGACATAATTATCTTTAAGATAATGTTCTTTATGTGTCAAAGTCAAAATTATTTTTTATTATTTCTCTTATCCTTTTTTTTATCAATTTAAAGGCAATTATGAAGATATTTTATATTTTATATTTATGGAGATGCAAGAAAAAGAAATTTAGAAATGCATTGGCGAAATTTGAATTCTTGAAATAATTATGACAAAGAGAAATAATTCTCTACCGTGATATCAGATAAGTTTTTTTGTAATTTTTATTTAAAATTAGTATGTCATTAATTCATTGTTTGATTCTGTTGCATGAATCTAATTTCATGATTGCTTTTCATGTTACTTGGGCCTTTGAAATTTATTGATTGTGCATTCCAAAAGTTTCACTGGAATGAATTTTTCAAAAATGTGGCTAATAGTATGAAATTAATAAGGTGAATATATTGGCATGATTTAGTTATGAAATTTTATGTTAATATTTCAAACCGAAAGTTTGGCCAACAAATTGGATCAAATATGATATTCAAGTTTAAATAGAAATGACACATCATTAATAACAATAAGAGCTATTGCTAATTACCGATAATTTGAAGGCAATCCACCAATTTCTTATTAGCCATGTTTATAGATTTGAAAAGTTTTGTTTTGAAATGCCAAGAAGAAGATAACATGGTTTGCAATTAAAACAATTTAAAGAAAGTTTATTTTAATGCAAATAGAGCTTATAAATAATTGTAAGGATATATGGGATTATTGCACATAGATTAATTAAAAAAGAAAAATGAACAAATCTCCATGGGTTTCTATAATTTCATGGTAAGGATGTGTACTAGTCATGCACCTTTAATGTGTGGAAAAATGTTCACCTACAATAGCCTTGATCCATGGAAAATGTGGTATGGCTCTTAAATGAATAATGCTTTTGATCAGTTTGAAAATTATTTATTTATAAATAATATAGAAATAGTTTTTCTCAATGGTTTTTGCATATAGTTGATATTTGTTTAATTTTATTTGATAATAATTATGACTAGTATAAATGATCTACATCTCATGATTTTAGTTTTAAGATATAGTGAAAGTATAAAATTATATTTACTTTAAAAGTCATGAGTAATTCAAAAATTTTATAAATATAAAAAAAAATTAAATAGCAAGATGAATATATTTGACCATTTGGGTGATAGACATGGTTTTGCTCATGATAATAAACTGGTAAATGATTTCCATGATAAAATAGATTCATAAGTTTTCATGAGTTGGCATAAAAGTCTAAAAGAGAGACTATAGAAAACATGAGTATACTAAAAAAAAAAAATTGAGAGCAAGTATATTTAACATCATTTTTATTGATGTATACTCTCATATTGAGTTTAAATAAAACTTTTGAAACTTCTATGAGAAGAAAATATTAAGATATAAAATATTTGCTTGTTATCTTTCATTATGGGTGAATTTGGAGGCCTCCTACTTTAAAAAGAAAAAAACCACCAACTAGTAAAAAGATAAATAAAATGACAATTTAATTAAGTATATATGATATCTTGATAATTAAATAGAATATTCTTTAATAAAAGAATGCAAATTTGCACATGGTGGTGATGATAAGAATAAAAAAAAAAATTGTCACCACTGTGTTGGTAAGATTTTAATATAATTTTATGAGCAAAGCTAATAAGTTTAGTACAACTTATTAAAGTAAAATCATAAAAGGTCCTTAAATATCTTTAAAGGACTAAAATAGCTTGGTTTATTCATTAAGTTTATTCAATTTTACTAGAAGAATAATTGTAGGTGTAGAAATAGAACAGCTGAAATTTTATATTATTGCCTTGTTCTTGTTATTTCTTAAAATAACAAGAACAAGGCAACAATATTTACAACATATAAATGATATGCAAAATAAAAAGTTTAGATATATTAGTCTAAAGTTATTATATTAGAAATTCAATCTCAAATGGGGATAATTACCATAAAAAAATGAATTTCAAGATATTTGCTTAGTAGCATTACAAGTAGAATGGATTTAAACCCTTACTATTAGAAACCAATAATGGGAATCCAACTTTGAATTAGTAATCTCTAACTACAAAGTTTAATGGGTAAAGGCAACTTATGGTTATGTGTTTGTTAAGCACTAGTAAAATCTATTTAAATTTTAGAAACTAGTGTGATCCATTGCATGAAAATGATGATTTTTTATATTCTTAATAGAGTTTTAACTGTTTAAAGCAATGGAGATATAATGGAAACTTTACCTATATAAACATAGAAGTAGTGCCACTTCAACAAGAAGAATTGAGATTTTTCTTGTAAATGTTTATGAATAGGATAAGCACATAGCCATAATACTGCTAAATCAATTATAACCTTTGACAGAAGAATAAATAAGTATTATATGTGTTATATCTTCAATTTTAATACTAGGAGTTGAGGTTTAGTAGAGTTTTTATACTCTTAATAGAGTTTTAAATGTCTAAAGTAATGGAGATATAATGGAAACTCTACTTATATAAATATAGAAGCAGTGTCGCTTCAACAAAAAGAATTGGGGCCTCTCTTGTAAATGTTTATGAATAGGATAAGTACATGGTCAGAATAATATTAAAGTGGTTATAAACATTTTATAGAAGAATAAATAAGTATTATATGTGTCATATTTTTAATTCTAACACTAGGAATTGAGGTTTAATCTGCGAATACCATAAATTTTGTTAAAATTCTAAATATATATATGCTAATTGAAAGTTTAAATCGAGAGATATTTTCTTGTGTTCATAATATTTATTTGTGTGAAAGGTTAAAGAATAAGCACCAACATTCCAAACTAGTGGGGGGATTGTTAGTATTTAGAATGTGGTGCATCCCACATTGGATAGAAATATTTAATTATTGATGAATAAAATTAATTTTTGTATTAATTTTATTTATATTTTAAATAATTATGTTTGAACAGAAACAATTATTGTATGATAAATGGTCATAACTATTTGAATATAAATAGAATATTGTTCATAAAGGTCAATATTATACAAAAGGTCATAACAATTTGAATTGAAATTTATGTCTGTTCATTCATTATAAATAGATGCTTTAATATAACCATTTTCACTATTTCTACTTTGAGAGTTTTAAGGCTTTATTGTATATTAAAGGAATGCCTTTAAGATAGTGTTCTTCATGCCTTAAAGCCAAAATTATTTTTTATTTTTTTCTCTTATTTATGTTTTCTAACACTGGCAATAAAGGTTTTTTTTCCTATTTCTCGATTGTAATTTTTTATACAACCTCATACTTTCAATATCATTACCTTTCTAAGCTATATTTCTTTGATGCATGCATCTAGATTGTAGGATGGGTTGGAAAAGACATCTAACAGTGGCTGAGATAGTAGGGGTATAAATGATACATTAGTACTCGCAAGCTACTTAAATTTGATTCAGTTAAAACTCGAATTTGATTTAATAATTGTCAAGCCAAGCTTGAGCTCGAGTAGCTTGACTTATTAAATGAGCCAAGTTTAAGCATATTAGTACCCAACTCGAATAGCTAACAAACCTAATCAAGCTTTTTTATTGTATATATTTTTATT